GGGGTAGGGGGCGGGGGCTGGAGGGCAGCGGGGCAGGAGCAGGAGGGCGCCCCCTGCCGCCTTCCCTTGGCAACGCCCACTCCAGGAACTGTGAACTCCGTCAATCTTTTTCTCAGAGCAATTTGATGCTTTTGGGAAAGCAAGCTGCCTCTTTCTTGCACTGGTTGGATATATTCCTTTCCCAGGCAAATACAGACGTCCTTTTAACCCAGTTTGTTAAGTGCCGTTGAGTCGGAACTGAGCCACACCTGACCCTCCAGTGGGTTTTAAGAGACAATAAATCGCACGGGAGGGCATTGCCCATTTTTCTCCAGAGGAGCAGCGAGTGGATTTGAGCTGCGAGCCTGTGGGAGTGCAGCGCAGCCTCTTGCCACTAGGCCACGCCAAGAACTCCCTAGTGTAGAGATAAGCAGATGTTTACGTAAAACTCCTATTTTTGTGCTACTGAGTGGGGTTGCCCAGGGCAAAGCTCTCTTTCACTGTGACCTTGATCTAATAGAAAGATGCAGCAGCAGCAAACCAAGTGAGCTGCCTGTCTAGCCTATGAAATGTTGTGAATTCATAGGGGGGTCTTTACCCTGTCCCTTACCCAGCTCATGAGTCATACCTGAATATCTCAAAGTTGTGTTTCCGTTGCAGCTAGTACCACTGTAAGTAAAAGCTGTGATGCATTGGGCAAGCTACAAGCCCTTAAAAAACATACTAACAGCTTTATCGATATACATACAATTCACTCATTTAAAGTGCATATCTCAATGGTGTGTAATGTCGTCAGAGAGTCCTGCAGTTATTACCACTGTCAATTTCACATCTTATCATGTCAAACAGAAAGCCCCTACCTATTAGCTATCAGTCCCATTTTTCTCCCTACTCCTAAACACAAAACACACACACATAAACTTCTGTAACTACCCAATCTTGCAGTCTTACATTCATTACTTGCTATGTATCTGAAAGCTGGAGAAAAATGCTCACCACTGGACCAATAAGCAACATCATGATAGATGGAAAAAACATTGAAATCGTCAATGATTACATTTTACAGGGACCCACAATTATCACCCTTGGTACCAGCAGTGAGGACATGAATTGCACTAGACAAATCTGCTGTCAGAGACCTCTCCAAAGTACTCAGGAGCAATGATGTCACTCCGAAGACTAAGGTGAGCTTGATTTAGGCTATAATATTTTCCATCATTTGCTATGCATCTGAGAGCTGGCCCATGAATAAGGATGACAGAAGAAGAATTGATGCCTTTGAGCTGTGGTATTGGAGAACAGTACCACAGACTGCCAAAAGAACAAATATGTCTTTGAGAAAGTACAGCCAGAATGCTTCCTGAAGGCAAAGATGACAAAGCTTCATCTCATACTTGGAGTATGCTGCTGTTAGCAATTGTTGTTAGGTGCTGTTAAGTCAAGTGCGACTCAGAGAAACCCTGTAAATTTAACTGATCTGAACCCTGTTCTATCCTGGGCCATCTTCACACTTCCTGACACACTGGAGCCCATTTCAGCCACCACTGTGTCAATCCACTTGGTCGAGGGTCTTCCTCTCCTTCACTGACCCTCCACCCTTCCCAGCATCATGTCCCTCTCCAAGGAACATGCCCAAAGTTTGTGAGGCAAAGCCTCATCATCTTTGCCTCCAAAGAGCACGCTGACTGCACCCTCTCCAGGACATAGCTGTTCTTTTGACCGTCCACAGGATGTTCAGTGCTCTTCTCCAGCAGCGCAGCTCAAGGGCATCAATTTTTCTAGCATGTTGCTAGGAGGGGGCTATTTCCTGGAGAGGGATATCATGCTTGGGAAGGTGGAAGGTCAGCGCAGGAGGAGATCCTTGACAAGATGAACTGACACAGTGACTGCAGCCCTAGAGGATGGTATAGGTGAGGAGGGCACAGGATGGGACAGGGTGCAGGTCTGTCGGTCATAGGGTTGCTATGAGTTGTACTCAACGTGCTGGCACCTAAAAAACAACTCTCTAATCTATTCTGACTCTTAGCGACCGTATAGCACAGAGTAGAACTGCCCCATAGAATTTCCAGTCTCTACGGGAAAAGACAGCAAAATCTGTCTCCCTCAGAACAGCTGGTGGGTTTGATCCGTTTTAATCTCCTGTGGAGAAGCTGTTTCGTTCTATCTGCTAACTTTTCTGTTAGCAACCAAAGGTTTAACCACTGCTCCACCAGGACCCCTCCCTAACCCCCAGGCAGCCACACATCCCCATTCAGTGTCTGTCGATTTTTATTGGTGTCATAGCGTCTTTTTTCTTATAAAATGATATTCCATTATCGATCCAGCTATTGGTCAGTTGGTTGGCCCATCAGTCTCTTGGTAAAAAACAAGGGTTGTTTCCATCTTTGGGATATTGTGAATTATGTCGCAATGTACACTGGTGCACAAATACCTCTTTGAGTCCCTGTTTTCAAGTACACGCCTCGGAATTCCCTGCTTGATTCTTTGGAGGAAAGGCCGGTTTTTCACAGATGCTGCACCACTTTACATTCCTACCAGCAATGTATGAGGTTTTCCGCTTCCCTGGCCCACCCTTGGTATTTTCTGGTGTATGGTTTCTTTTTTTCTTTTTCTGATCCCAGCCATCCTAGCGGGTGTGACCTGCTGTCTCCCCGAGGCTGTCATTTGCATGTTCCTGCAAGCCTGCTTTCATATGCTTATTGACTATTTGTAGTTGCAGGTAACTCACATAACACCTACAGCTTATCTTCTTTGGTCAAAGGCCTATTCAATTCCTCCTCCATTTCTAGTTGGGCTCTTTCCTTTTTATTAGAGAGTTGGAGATCACGTATTTGAGGCACAAGCCTTTCATGAATGATAGATAGGATTGGCAACTATTTGCTCTTTCTTCCGTGGGTTATCTTTTCATTCTCTGGTATCCTTTGCTGGATATGACTGACCTTCTAGAACACGTTGTTGTTGTTATGTGCCATGGAGTCAACTATGACTCATAGCGATCCTATGAACAATGGCTCTGAAACCGGCCTTTTCTCACCCCGTCTCCAACATACCTGACCTCATTGCCACAGTCACTGTGTCAATCCATCTCATCCAGGGTCTTCCTCTTCTGTGCTGACCCTCCACCCTTCCAAGTATGATGTTCTTCTCCAAAGACCAGTCCCTCCTGACAAGATGCCCCTTCTTTAATTTTCAGTAATAATAAACCCCAACTCCATAAAAACCCAGAAACTGCCTGTGTAGATCTCTCCCTGGTAGGAACTCTGAGGGGTTGGAAAGAGGAGGACAGGAGAAAAGATCCAGTACCTCCCAGTTTGTGTGGATTTTTAAAATGTCATTGTTGTTGGTGTTATGTGCTATTGAGCCTGCGACTCCTAGTGACCCTATATACAACAGCTCTGTAACCTGCCCTGTCCTAAGCCAGTCTCACTGACTCCGACACACCAACCCCTAGTCACTGTGTCAATCCATCTCATCCAGGGTCTTCCTCTCCTGCTCTGTCCCTTCCCCCTTCCAAGCATGATGTCCTTTTCCAAGGACTGGTCCTTCCTGGCCATGTGCCCAAAGTATGTGAGACAGAGCTTCAAAATCCTAGACTCCAAGGACAAACTTGGTTTCACGCTCTCCAAGACAGACCTATTTGTTTTCTTGGTGGTCCATGGTATGTTCAAGACTCTCCTCCAGGACTACAACTCAAAGGAATCGGTTCTTCTTCTGTCATCCTTAGTCATTGTCCAGCCCTCTGATTGCATAACAAGTTACAATTACCATGGCCTGCATCAGGCGCACCTTAGTCTCTAGATTGGCATTGTTCCGTCTCAGCACTCTGGAGAGGCCCTTGACAGCAAATTTTCCCAGAGCAATTTGTCTTTTGATTTCCTGACCACTGGTGCCAAGAGTGTGTATTGTGGAGTCGAGCAAATGGAAATTGTTAACGGCTCAATCTCTTCTCCATCTATCATGGTGCTACCAATTAGGGCAGTGGTGAGAAAAAATATTTTAAAATATATGTTATAAAATGAACTGCAACATAACAGCAACTCATGTCAATCAAGTTGGAATCAACTCATAGCTGACTTTTCAGTGAATTTTCACAGCCCATAAATTGGATGATAGAGACATTGCCCATCTTTCTCCTTCAAGCCCCTGGTAGGTTTAACTGTGTGCCTTTGGGTTGACAGCACAGTTCCTTATGACTAGGCCACTAGAGCTCTCTAAGGACATACTTGATGTATATAAAAAAAGTCAGCAACTTAGTAGTTCAAGGAAGGCATACATTAGGGTTTATCTTTTCTTCATACCTATTCAATTGTTATGCTGAGCAAATGATTAGAGACGCTGGACTCTATGAAGGGGAATTTGGCATCAGGATTGGAGGGAGACTCCTCAACAACTTTCATCATTTCAATGACACAACCTTGCTTGCTAAAAGTGAGAAGGACTTGAAGCATTTGCTGCAGAAGGCCTTCAATATGGTTGCGTCTCAACATCAAGAAAACACTGCCTTTTCCATTAGAGCCTTCAACATAATTATAGTTCTTTCAAATCCTTGCTTATGATTTCAGTAGCTGTGTAATATCTACACGAGGCTCTAAGATTGCTTTGTCTTTTCAGATTGGTTTTTTCTTATCTTTTAGCATGTCTTCTTTTTTGCCAAAAATCAGATCTTTTGTATACA